GAAAGGAAATGAAAGGGAGGGGAAGGGAGAGGAAGGGGAGATGAAGGGAAGGGGAAGGAAAGAAAAGAAAAAAGAGGAAAGGAGAAAAGGAAATGAAAGGGAGGGGAAGGGAAGGGAAAGAAGAGATGAAGGGAAGGGGAAGGAAAGAAAAGAAAAAAGAAAAGAGGAAAGGAAAAGAGAAAGGAAATGAAAGGGAGGGGGAGGGAGGGGAAAGGAAGAAGAGATGAAGGTAAGGGGAAGGAAAGGAAAGAAAAAAGAAAAGAGGAAAGGAAAGGAGAAAAGAAAGGAAATGAAAGGGAGGGGAAGGGAAGGGAAGAGGAAGGAAAGGTAAGGAAAGAAAAAAGGAAAAGGAAAGAAGAAAAGAAAGGAAAGTTAGATGAAGGGAAGGGGAAGGAAAGAAAAGAAAAAAGAAAAGAGGAAAGGAAATGAAAGGGAGGGGAAGGGAAAGGGAGAGGAGATGAAGGGAAGGGGAAGGAAAGGAAAGAAGAAAGAAAAGGAGAAAAGAAAGGAAATGAAAGGGAGGGGAGGGGAAAGGAAGAGGAGATGAAGGGAAGGGGAAGGAAAGGTAAGGAAAGAAAAAAGGAGAAAAGAAAGGAAAGAAGAAAAGAAAGGAAAGGGAGATGAAGGAAAGGGGAAGGAAAGGAAAGAAAAAAGGAAAGAGGAAAGGAAAAGAGAAAAGAAAGGAAATGAAAGGGAGGGGGAGGGAAAGGAGATGAAGGGAAGGGGAAGGAAAGGTAAGAAAAGAAAAAAGGAGAAAAGAAAGAAGAAAAGAAAGGAAAGGGAGTTGAAGGGAAGGGGAAGGAAAGAAAAGAAGAAAGAGGAAAGGAAAGAAGAAAGGGAGATGAAGCAAAGGGAAAGGAAAGGAAGAAGAGATGAAGGGAAGGGGAAGGAAAGGAAAAAAGAGAGAAAAAAAGAAAAAGCACCTTTGGGACAACTTGGATGATGGAAAAACCCCATAGACTCCCAATGCACTTCCATCATTTTGAGACCTAGAAATTGACCTAAAATAAAGACTACCCGATACCAAATCATACCCCACCCCGGGAAGATTAAAGGGGTGGGGGGGAACCCCACTTTTCTGCCCTCCATTGGGGCTCCCCAGCCCATTTAAACACCCCCCTCTCCCTTTCAAAGCACTTTTCCTTTGGCGTGGATATATCCCATCCTCCCGTCTCTTGGAGAGGAGACCCCCCCTCCCATCCTTTCAGGGTCCATATTCAGGCCGGGGGGTGGGTGGGGGCGATGCGCGGGGGGGGGGGGCTTGCATTTTCCCCCCTCCCCACCCCGCCAGGCTGGACTCCGACTCCCATAAGGCGCAGCCAAGCGCCGGACGGACGGACGGACGGACCGGCTTCGCACACCAGCGGGGCGGCGGCGGGGGGGGGGGTTTCGACGCGAGTGGGGCGGGGGGGCTTCAGCACTCACCCGTCGCCCACCACCACACACTTGATGGCCTGCATCGGGGCGGCCGCTCGGTCGGGGCGAGCGTGGGCGCGAGGAGAGAAAGGGAAAGGCCCTCGGCGGCCTCGGCTTGTCTCCCGGCCTTTCGGCTAAGCGCTGCTTCCCTCGGAAGGAGGACCCCGAGAAGGAGGCTGAGAGAAGGGCGGCGGCGGCGAAGGAGGAGGCGGCGGCGGGAGCTGAGGAGGCAACTGCCACCACCCAAAGCGCGGGGCGGGCAACTGAGGCGAGCGCGGAGGAAACAGGAAGCGACCGCTCCGCTCACTTCCGGCCGCGAGCGAGCGAGCGCGCACTCCCACCCCGCCCACCCCTCCACCTCTTCCTCCTCCTCCTCTCGGTCCCGCCTTCTTCCGGAAAGCCTTCGGGGGCGCCCGAAGATGGGAAGAGGGGGGCGGGGTCGAATCGCTTCGGGAGCCTCCGCCGCTTTCCTCCTCCTCGGCCACGCCCCACGCCCCGCGCCCGGCGAGGGAAGAACGAACGGGGTTTTCGGGAAGGCTCGGGTGCCGCGCTCGCTCCTGGCCTCGGAATTCGGGTCTTCGGTTAAATCCGTTGATCTTCGCGCCGCGCTCCTTTCGCTAATTGGCGGCGTCGGGTTCCTGGTGGGTGTCGCTCGCGGGCGCCAGGTTGGCGGTCCTTTGGGGCCTTTTCCAGCGTTGTGGAAAAAAATATATAGGGAAAAAGCAAGGGGGGAAAAAAAAAGGTTAGTTATCCCGCTCAGCCTTCGTTTGATCTTATAGCCGCTGCACGGGTTACTTTTTCCTATTTCAAAGCAAAAAAAAAAAAAAAGTTCCTTTTTATTCGCATCTATTTCATGGATTAATAATCATGTTTATACTTCCATATATTATCAAATGCATGCTTGATAAAATAAATAAAATAAAATAATAAGCTACTGAAAGTGGGTTTCTGGAATTGGGGTTGAACCCATGTTTGATGATGATTGATTAATGCACACTTAAGCGTAAGCATAGTTTATGAACCTTCATGTTATGTTGATAACATGATGCTGCTTCCTAGTTTGGTAATAAAACGTCTGCAAGAAAAAGACCAATCTCAGCACCAAGGAGCCCATAATTCTCCTCCTCCTCCTCCTCGCTGCAAAACCCCAGCCCTGATGATGTTACCTAGTTTGGTAATAAAACGTCTGCAAGAATGCCCCCAACCTCAGCACCAAGGACAGCATCATTCTCCTCCTCCTCCTCCTCTTCCTCCTCGTCCTCCTCCTCTCCACAAACCCCACTCCCTTCTAACACTGATGATGTTACCAAGCTGGGTCATGAAATGTCTACAAGAAGCAACCAAGCTCAGAGAGCACCAAGGACCTCACAGTTTCCCCCTCCTCCTCCTCCAAACCCCACTCTTTTCTAGCACTGATGACGTTATGTAGTTTGGTAACGAAACATCTGCAAGACAACCAACCAACTTCACAGCACACCAAGGACGCCACATTATTTCTCTAGCACCAATGACCATCTTATGTGCCCACTTTTTGTATTAATAATATCTACATCCGGGGTGTGTTTTAACTGCATTTGCCCATGAAATGGTACAATGCTGTGATTTTTATTTTAAAATAGCATCATTCCCTACAACAAATCCCTGCATTTGTTTTGTATTAAAACCTCACAAGGGGAATAAAACTTTTAAAGAGATTTAAGCTTCGTGTGTCCGATTGGTGTTTGCACGCCACGTTGAACGAACTCGAGAGCTTGCTGGGAGAACAATTGAAACATGTATATCTGTTTCTGTCATCTTGATTGTGTAATGTGTTTTTTATATTCTTTGTGTCGCTTGCCGCACGCTGCTCAGTCGCTTTTAATCAGATGAGCATCTGTACAAGTTAGATGAATAAACAACTAATCAACCAGCCGAGTTATAACTGAATGTGAAACTGGAACAGTTTATGCACTTATATTTATCTTTCCGTATTCCTGGACTCAAGGTGATACTATTCCCGTAACTTAAATCACATTCTCATTGTTTTACATCAGATGATCAAAAGATAACAAAAACCACCCAAACTTATGTAAACGAAACTGAATATCTCAAGCATCCTTTATTAGTGGGGGAGGGAAACCCTTCTTTTCCCATAAAGTTGGTCGATATTGTAAGTCTGGCAATGTTATTTCCTCAATCCAAACCTCTCTGAAAGAAGGACAGCTAGTTCTTTCTTAGAAAAAGGAAATCTGTTTAAAATACAGCTGGAGTTGTTGCGTAGGGGATTTTGAGCCTGGCAGCAAAAGGCATGATTAATTTATATGGGTGTGGCTGCCCGAGTAGTAATCACACTGATGTAATTCTGGAAAAAATGACACACGTTGCAAAACGCGAAAAAAAGGAGAGAATAAGATTGATTTTTATATCATCTTTTGAAAGAGATATGTTTACATTTTAAAGACAAAAAAAATTAAGTTTTAGATCCAGTTATAATTGGCGCTGATGATACAGGTTTATGTGAAATGTTTTCGTAAATATTTAATGGACCTTTGCTTCTATTTTTTTTTCTGTGATTATCATTAATCTATTCTTATTAAATTTATTCCAGATTTGAGTGATCCCTTTGGTCCTTTCTATAGGCTTGTGTAGAGACCCCCTTTCTACTTTAAAAGAAAAACAAGAAAAACTGGGAAGTATATTAACTCTTCTCAAACGTTCTGGCGTTTCTCTTTTCCAACCAGGAATTCCCAAAGACTACAGTCAGGGATTGTGAGATCACATCTGCCAGATCCTTTAGCATCGAGATCTGATCCACCTCCCTTCATTCAAAGATTTCTTTCATCACTTCCCTGCCTACGTTGACATACATTTTTTCTTCTGTCTTCTTCTCTCCGTGGTGCAAGTTCTAACAAAGTTGGCCAAAAGACAGAGGCAAAAAGGGAATTCTTTCAGCTTGTTCCCTGTCTCGTGATGACCCAGAGTGTACCACAAACGTAACATAATCCAAAATGTAAATAAATGTCCTTTAATGCCTCCAACTTGGCCCCACTGTTCAATAATACTCAGTTGGAGATAAAACATACTCAAAAATAGTCTTCAAAAGAAAGCAATGCAGTCCGAATTTAATGAGCAGATAGAGGTGAAATTTAAAAAAAAAACACCAAACAAACTACAATGATGAAATTTCCACAACGGAACAGGAGAAGTATTTACCAAATTCAAGGAGATAACAAGGCACGGTCTGTTGGAAGGACGCCAACCAAGTTAACTTCAGACCAAAATAAAACACGCTTTGTTTCCAGCGTTTGCCAGTACGCAGGTCCAAACTCTTATTCAGTTGTTACAGCTGCAGCCCATGAAGAGGATCAAGGCCCTCTCCTCCCCAGTAGACCACGTCTTTCCCTTATCCTCTCCTCCCTGCGTGCCCTAGGATGGAGAGGGGGTGGGCCTGGATCCTCCTCTGATTGCTCTGCCCTTCCCCAGCCTCCTCCACAACCTCCGGAGCCACAGCTCCACTCCCTGTTGGCTGTTCCTCCTCTCCCTCAGAGTCAGTCCCCACCAAGGGCATGACACCTCCTTGCCATCTTCTCAACCAGTTGACCAACCGTTTCCCAGATTTCAATCTGCACATACCTTTTGGAGTGATTCTTCATATTTCTTGCAAGCTTCAGCTCATTCCGAATCTTGGTCTTCCTGATGCTTTTCTTCAAGATCCAGGCCATTTCCTGATAATCTACTTTTCTTACATGTCCCTCTTTCCATCCTTTAGGGCCATCCTTTTTGCTTTTTAGATTATCAGAAAGGTCTTTAGGCAACCATACTGATTCTATCAACTCTCTTCCCTCTTTTTCTTTGGTGTGTTTCGAGGCCTTGATCCTCTCATTTTTCAGAACATCCAATCCTCATCAACTGTTTCTCTCTTCAAGATCTCCACCTATGGAGTCCGTCTCCTTTTTCCGCATTGCTTGTTGAGGTCAACTCTCTTGAAATCCAGAACATTCATCTAGCTAACATCTAGTTCTCCATTTTCCAAAGCACCAGAAGGCAGGACAAGAAACAATGGATGAGAACTGACCAAGGAGAGAAGCAACCTGGAATTAAAGGAGAAACTTCTTAACAGAGAGGACGATTAACCAGTGGAATGGCTTGTCTTTAGAAGTTGTGGGTGCTCCAACACTGGCGTTTTTTAAGAAGAGACTGAACAGCCCCTTGTCTCAAATGCTATGGGGTCTCTCCTGCTTGACCAGGGGGTTGGACTAGAAGACCTCCAAGGATGGGAGGGAACTGTTGTGATAGACAGACTGGATTGGTCGAGACAGAGCAGCGCATTATGACATAGGAATGTCATCTCATCGTCATCAACAGCAAGATGGCATCCTTGTTATCCCTTTGGCTGCATTGCTTTGATCTGTGGACCTCCAGATCGTCACGCAGGTATGGGGCCCAAGCCTGTAAGGTGTGGCTGTCAACTTGTAAATCATTCCTATGCCTGTGTTGCGGTTCTCCGGCAGCAAGTGCAGATGGCTGAGGTCTCTGACAGTGAGGACTCGGATAAGGGGCCTGTGTGTGATGCAGAGATGGGGCCAGAACTATCAGAGAGTGGGGTGCTGCCTTCGGAGGTTGTGGAGTCTGGCAGCAGTGACACAGAGGATCCCGAAGAGCCTGTGCCCAGGGCGTGTGTGTGCAGGGCTGCTTGAAGAAGAAAGAGCAGCCTCAGCAGCACGGGTGTCTCGGGAGTAAAGCTGCAAGGTGATGGCTCCTCCCATAAGGGATAAAAGCCAGCCCTCAAGTGTTGGGTTCTTTGCAGGAAGCAAAGAAGTTATTTCAACTCAAAGTTCTCGTGGAAGTCCTGTCTGTTCTGGTTTGCTTTCGGGGACTTTTGGCTTTGGATATTTCTCTGCAATTACTCTTCTTTTTATTAAGAATTTTTATTTTCAAGCAAACATACACAAGCAAAACATAAAACATAAAAGCATCTTCCAGTTACATACAGTGTGTCGGTTGGTTACAAGTCTTTTGTGCTTCATCTCCGTAGTCCTCACTTATAGTTTGTATAAATTCTCATATTATCCATCTAGTATGTATGTGTGTATATTATATATAATATTTTATATATATAAAAAATCATTGTTAATCATTTATTTGACTATTATTCCATCATTTTATGCGGATATTCAACATTTTAGATTATTTAGATTATAACATTCCTTACCTCATCATAAATCCATCCAATAATAATACATCATTATGTTGTATTCTCTATAATTTTATTATCCTTATATGATAAAATTATCTAAAAATTTCATTTCCATATTTTTTTTATCTAACCATTGTTTCTTGGCAGCCTTTCACAACCTTAGTTTAGGGACAATTAGTTTTAATGACTCTTTGCTGTGAATGAACAGAATTCACAGAGATGCATTAAAAAGGTTTGCTTTTATATATACATTGTGTTTCTTGGATTTGAACGAGGCTTGGGTCAGAACAGCCTGTTTCCAAGTTGTCATTAGAAGGAGGGGGGAAAGGCCTGAGGGAGCAGAGCAGTAGATGAAGGCCAGAAGCACATCCCTAGCTTATCTTGTGGAGATCGTAGCCTAGGCTACCGGATCTTCTGCCCACAAAAGTCCTCCATTGGAGAACATGATTGATGACACCCAGCCCGTGAACATGTTTCATTGGAGAATCTGATTTATGACACACCCAGTGGGGTGTGGGGAAACAGGATCATAGGTGATAGTACATGAGGTGTCTCAGAGCTGGTTTCACACAGGTTCATGCTGGAGGTGTTGCTCCTAATAAATCTTTCGGTTTCTTTTGAAGCTTGGCTCGAGGCTCATGATTCAATTAGGGCAATCGCCGGGATCCTGACAGTGGCTTGGCGGGTCAACGATGAAGGTGGCAAGTCTGCTTCTATCTGTTTTGGTTGCCCGGCTCCCCCAGTTGGTGACCGGCCGTTCCTATGGGATCTTCTGTAAAGGACTGACACGGACTCTCCTTCTCTTCTTTGGACTGGCCTGGAAATTCCACGTCAACTTCTCCTCCCTGTATCTGGTCACTTCCATGCTATTCAACGTCAGGCTACAGGTAATGTTGGAGGGCAGATTCAACCCAAGAGCCCAGCATGGTTCATCCCGTTATCGGCTTTAATTTTTGCAATCAACTTGGCTTTACCCATCACTCAAGCCATGGCATATCAAGAGCCTCGGTGGCGCAGTGGTTAGAGTGCAGTACTGCAGGCTCCTTCTGCTGACTATCAGCTGCCTGCAATTTGGCATTTCAAATCCCAGGTTTTCATCATTCCGAGGTGGGTAAAATGAGGACCCAGATTGTTGGGGGCAAGAGGCTGACTCTGTAAACCACTTAAAGAGGGCTGTAAAGCACTGGGAAATGGTATATAAGTCCAAGTGCTATTGCTATGTGCGGTCATGAGCAAACCACAGTTCCTGGGCTCATGTCATACATGAAGAAGAAACCAAGTCAACGATGATCGTTTGCGGTGACCCCCTGCAATTGAACAATGTTGTACTGAAGCGACTCCATTTTCTGTATTTATGCTTGGCTGGAAGCTCATGATTTAATTAGGGCTACTGCCAGAATCCTGACACACCATACACTGGCAGCCAAGTAACTGAGTTCATTTATTTTCCGGGTTCATACAACATACTGGTTCCTTAATGTAATAAAAAGGTTCAGTTAGTGCACAATGCATACAAGGCCAAGCCACAGAAAGCAATTTAAGCCGATGCATACATGAGGTGCGCGCCCAGTGACTAAACATGGAACACGATTGAATCATCAGAGAATCACAAGCAACGGGCAAGGTATAGCATGCCCCCTATCAGTCATGTTGATACTTGAGCTTGCAATATTTACCTATGGCCAAGTCAATGATTTGTTAAGATAATGCACCTGTGTAGACTTATATTGCTGAATCACCAGGTAACTCCAGGAGATGGGTTCCTGCAACACCAGAGCATAAAACTGAAGTCTTCACTCTTTATTTCTTCTCTCCAATCAAGAACATTTATTACTTGCTAGATTTTGCCAGGCAGCATTTAACATTCACGAACAAAGAATTAAGGATGGCGGGCATGGGTTAATATAAGACATCTTATTTATTTTTTATATGATAGCAGTGTGTTAGCAGTCCTAAGTTTTATTTATCTCAGTTTCAGTGTCACTGTCGAAACGGGTGTAATTTTTTTTTTCTGATTATAATTTTATGCCAGCTCCACGTCACTTTTTTCAGTGCTGTTGTAACAGCCGCTGAAGGAACTGTTGTAAGTCAAAGTTTACCTCGTAGAATAAATTCCCTTTCAAGGCATTCTTCTCACGATGAAGATTGGTTCATAACGATCTAAAGACTTAGCAGGAACTCCACTGATTAAAAATAATAATAAATGTGGTGCAACGTTCCATGTTATTTTTGCAGGAAGTGACACTCAGGAATCATAGTAGATTATGACATCATAGAATGCTTCCTGAAGTCTTACTGGTCGGACTAAGGCACTGTTGCCTAATAAATATTCTGCTATTTCATTTGCTGGAGGATGTGCCAGGCTTAACGAAAAGGCCAAAGGATTAAGTAGCAGTAACCTAGTTGTAGAAGGAAAGAGAAGGAATGGGAAAACTAAAGATCAAGCAATGTAAGTCTTTGAAGTGTCACAACCTTGCTCTATGAACTCCAAAATGAGACAGGAGCCTATCCTTTTACTGTTCTGCTCTTTATGATTACTAGCTGAATTTAAGGCAGACGGATTTAAACTCCACAAAGGCATCCATACAAAGTCTCTTTATTGGTTCATCAGGCATTCTCAAATATAACTCACAGTTACATAGAGATTCATCTCAATGTCCAATTCTCTGCATAGCTGACTTTCTGGTGTAAAAGAATAGTGACCTTTCATCCCATAACGAAGGAGCAAGAGGATGAGGCACCAACTGCTGGGGTCCAGGCAAGAGCGAAGGAACCTCCCCCAACCCAACCAAGGGTCAATTCAGTGACCAGATGTGACCACATGACATGAACTACATTTCCCAGGATGCATTAACTACATTTACCATGAGGCATTCCCTTAAGGGGAAAGTTCCCAATTCTAACTTAACTAACTCAATTCCCATTACCCATATACTGTTTGGACAGCACAGTATGGTTGTGCCTGACAGGAATGGCACACAAACCTCTCCATTATATAATAAAGAGATTCAAGAAGAGATTGAACTGCCATTTGTCAGAAATGGTGTAGGGTTTCCTGCTTGGGCAGGGGGTTGGACTAGATGACCTACAAGGTCCCTTCCAACTCTGATTATCTGTCTGTCACTATTGATTCTCATTTCACACCAAGCCTTTATGGAGTCCTTCTATAATCCTAACAATATACATTGTTTAAGAAGAGATTGGACAGCCATCTGTCTGAAGTGGTATAGGATTTCCTGCTTGAACTAGTAGACCTCCAAAGTCCCTTCAAATAACATTCTTCTTTTTCTATGTTAGATTGAGAAACGTAGAAATTTGAGGGTCAGAAGGGGTCTTGAAAAACTGGAAGTTCTCCAAACTCCCAACCTTTATGATCCCATAGGGCAGGAATTCCCAAAAGATCCCAAACAAATGGTTTTCAAACTTTGCTTGAAAAATCTCCAATGATGGAGTTCCTTGCCACTGCAGGAAGCCAACTGCTTAAAGCCAGGAAATGAATAGAATAGAATAGAATAGAATAGAATAGAATAGAATAGAATAGAATAGAAT